TTTTGGTATTTAGTGTGGTTGGGGGCGGGGGGGGGGGGGCGCAGATAATTTTAGGCTTAAAAAATTGTTATTTAAAAGATATAATGTTAATTATGCGACATTGATGGAATGCATCTCTCTCCAATTTTAAGGCATTATTTTGGACAAATAGTCTATAAAAGTACTGAATTAAGATTTTTTTTCTATCTCTCCCTCTTCCTCCTCTCCCTCCCTCCCTCCCTCTCTCTCTCTTTCTCTCTCTCTCTCTCATATCAGTCGCTTCTACATTTCCCCAAAATTCCACAGCTGTGCTCTTAACTATATCTGTACCTTTGGGGAATACATTTCCCACTTCTTTTACAGACATAATTATCATATGTCCCCTATGCTCAACGATCTTGAACTATCCAAGATACCACTGTGTATGAAAGAGTCCAAGGCAAGCATAAAGAAGGCAGCATGTAATAAGTAGTATCTGAGTGCCTACTGCATACATCCAATTAGGAACTCATGTGCCTTCGGAAGATAACGTTTGATAGAGTGAGGAGACTTGAAGTTTTGGTACGATGAGACTAGCACATAGTAGGTACTCACATACTGAGTCCGTGGAATGAGTAAGCTTTTTCTGCATTCACTTGAAAATGGGGGCTCTCTGCCTGCCTTGCCAAAGTTGCTGGCCAGTACTGTCTTCACCTGTGCCCACCTGTGAAGAAAGATGGAGTTAATTTTGCGTAAGTGTATCTCTGTGTCTAGGAGCTTCTCCACAACCGCAACGGATGAATTTACGAGTTTTTAGCTCCCTAGCTTACTTTCCTTTGGCTTCCTCATGAATCAGGTTGGTTAACAAGCGTGATTCACGGTTTTGTCTCATAGCTGTCTGTGTTCCATGGGACTCCTTGGTGCCGGCAGGTCTAGGACTTCCCAGTTAAAGGCTCATGCATCTTGTGTGGAGAAATCGCACACTAACACCTCCAGTAACTCGGAGTCTGGCAGTGGTCGTATAGATTTCAAAACGATTAATCAGTGAGGCACATTTTGTCGTGTCCCAGGGGGCCATAGTGTAATTTGGAATGTGTATCATTTGGGATGTTAAAGGAGTAATGCATCTGCATTCAAAGAAATAACAAAGCGTCTTCTCCCTACCAGCTTGCAAAAGACAAAGAGCGCCTGCAAGCCATGATGACCCACCTGCACGTGAAGTCTACAGAACCCAAAACTGCCCCTCAGCCCGTAAGTACTCAATGACACCCGTGGGGAACCCTACAGTGTTTCTTCGCCGCTTCCCTACCCCAAGGACGGAGGATCGCCTAGTCTGGCAGCTTTGAGTAGTGAAAGACTTAAGCTCCATCTGGTTCTGATTACCTTTTCTGAAGAGGGCAGCGTGCTGGGCATTTAGGGAGCTAGATATGGGATGATTCAGGCACAGTCGTTAGCCAGGAGGCCCCACCATCGGCTCTTCTTTGGGACAGATGATTGATGCTACACCAAGGTGCTAAAACATATTACGAGAGCTCACTAGAAGGGGACAAAACAAAACAGAACAGCAAGCAATCTTTCTGATTTCTCAATGGTGGAAACACAGAGAGAAGACAGCCAGACCAGGAAAGCAGAGGAAAAAGGCATGTCAGCATGGTTTAGCCAAGAGGCAGTGGGTGTGAGGAAAGAAGTGAGGGATAGTCCAGTCCAGTCTAACTGCAAGAAAGGAAAGAAAGAGGAAACACACTGTCGGAATAGTCAGAGGCTATAATTACGGAGAACATCTAACGGTTTCTAAAGAGTTTGAAGCGAAAATTACTCCTTCGCAGTGAGGAGACCAAACATGGTACCCTGAAATTACATTTCACTTTTAGCAATCTCTTACTTCTTGCCTTGTTCCCTTCTGTTTGACGTTCAAGAGTGTCACCAAGCACAGACAGTTAATATCAAAGTGGAAGTGTGGTAGCTGAACCCCAAATCCTGTCTTGGGCCTCATTACTTGTTGCAAATTGATCGCTTTCACAGTTGTGTTTCTTGTACGCTTACAGTTCTCAAAATCTAGTAGCGTCACCTGATTATTCACAATGGAGAGAGTGCTTTGCTTCTTGATTTTTAAGATTTGTAAAATTTAAGGGTACACTGCCTTTATTTGATTTTGCTTGGAGTCACTGTGTGAAAATTAATTGAGCGTTGACAATCTATAGTTAGTACCAGCAATTTTAATCAATATGCAGTGATGCGGCGTAATGGCAAAGTATTGGTTTATCTGTTTTGACTGATTTTTTCCTATAAATAAAGCAAACATACACCCATACATGTATGATTTATGGTGATAGAAATAAAACGGAGTCAGACTATTAACCCAGCAAATATGGTAGCCTGCCAAGATGCAGTTGGCAGACAAAATTAATGTCTGAAACAGAACACATTACTGAGATATAGGACATAAAATCAGTAAACACTTTGCATACCCATTTTTACTAGGGAAGAGCCCTTGGTTTCCATGTATTTTGCAGTGAACGGCTGTAGGACCCAATGTGTAGGCTACCCAAGAGAAAGGGGGTCAGGGGGAGGCCATTCAGTGTCGTGGAGTCAGTAGCCAGCTGTGCTCTCGGTGCTATTCCTGTCAACCCCTTCTTTTAAGGAGGGTCCTGGGAATACTGTGAACCCAGGTAAGCAAATTGGTAAGATCCTGGCATGACTCCACTGAGTTCTTCAGCGGGTATAGGGAGCTTGAAACTCTCTGGAAGTCTTCAGATGGTTGTCGTTGGTTAGGGAAATGGTTTTCCCCAGGTTGAAGGGTTTGCATCTCTAAACCTAGCAACAAGGGAGAGAATGAGATTATCTCCTACTTCCTCCGTGGATTAAAAACAGTGATATGAGGTTAGATATTAACTATGAGAACTAGAATAATGTTTGGACTCCGCACTCTAGGAATATACTCATTTGGGATCATGAGGCTCCTTGGGAGGAGGAGGGATAAAAGCAGAAAAGGAATTGCAAAACCCCACGGGGCACTCAGCGAGCGATGGCGCTGGATGCCGGCAGGGAGCGCCATATACATAGGCCTCCATAGGCCACAAAAGGGACCCTTGGGAATCTCCATGAGGACCCGTGTTAGGCAGCCAATAAACAGGAAAGTGCGGTCCTGGGGGAAATGCACAGGGCAGGAAGGTTTGTCTTGATTAGTATTTTTAAAAATGTTTTGCATGCTAGAAAATTACAACTTCGAAGGGGGACCTCCTACTAAATTTATTTTCAACTGCTCTATTGAAAATTCTCTACCACTAGTCAACATTATCTCTTAGTAGCTCAGCACAGTATTTCTTTATTAAAAGAAATAGGCACGAATATTTTTGACTGAAAAATTAATAGCTTTTGAATTCGTACGCAGCAGGTTTTCTTTTGCAAAGAAGTCCAATATCGCTGCACAGCACTTCTGTAACCATTTATTTGGAGTCCAAGTCAAACCTTTGACAGTTAGAGCAGTGCTACAAGCCAATATAAAGAACTCCAAGATGTAAACCAACAATAGGCCGTCTGTGTGAGGTTTGCCATTGTCAAATACATAGATTGTTTGGATTAGTTTATGTAAATGGACTGTTGTATTACCCTTTGGGAAAAAAAAAAAAAGAAAAGATCACATTTGTGTATGAAAAGTGGTTCCCTTCACAGGCAGCATTATAAATTCCTTATCCTTTAACTTACATGTAAGAAGTAAAAATTGGTGCCTGACAGGCAGATATTGTGTGACACTCTGTTGCCAGAGAGAACCTGCCTTCTTTTCATTCACTGGAAAATAGAAAATTTTATTATAGATACCATCTTATAAATCGGGAATTATTAAAATATGTATAGGTGAGGCATTGGGAAATTAATTATAAAAGGTAGACGTGTAGTGTTTTGCATGCATTTTTACTTCTTTGCCCAAAAACAGGGGAGGGGTGGACAGACACAGAGCAAACCCTTGATGCTTTCAACTTTAGGGATACAGAGTTAGCTGATGATCGGTTCTAAGGTGCAGAAGACTCCCTTTTGCCTGTAATTGATTTATTCCACCTGAAATAGTAGAACGCACAGTGTACGTTCAGATGCCTATCGTTCTAGACTCTCTGATTTGAAGGAAGCAGTCCCTGGGATTCAAATCTAACCTTAGCTGGGGACTCTCATGTTAGAGTCTTGCCAGCAAGTTTGTGGAGTGTTTTGCTTTTTTTTCCTCTTTTCCATTTCTGTTTAAAAAGGAACTCTGTGTTTATTTTAAAATCCTTAGTCACTAAGTGATAGAATGCTTTGCTGTAAACGTTGCTTTTCACTAAATGCCATTTGGGTGGTAAGTGTCATTTGCTGTGTCCAGTCATCCAACCAGTTCCCATTTCACTGCCAAAACCTCCTTGGATTGTTCTGACAGCAGCCCGTAGACGTGTTCGCTGGATGCTGTTGTGGAACTCACGTTCCCATTTGGCTAATCAGAGGCTGTGCTCAACTCGGGAGAATCCCAAGTTTTTAGGCGTGGGTCTGAGCGCGACTCCCACTGGAAAGCGTGGAGAGGAACTGAATAGGGGTTTACGACGGTCCTGTTCCAGACGTGCCTCCGATAACATCCCCTCCTGCTTGCTTGAAAATCTTTTAAACCGATAAAAACCTTTCCTTTCGTAATTATACCCAGGACTCAAACTGCAGTGCACGCTGTTCTCGTGAAGAGAATTCCTGAATTTAAAATCGAATTATTGCATCCACGAATATTTATTGGACGTGCGACAGGAAAACATAGGGTAGTTAAACCAGACAGAACCATCCCTGCCATCGAGGTGTTTGGGGTCTCATGGGACCAACTACCAGAGACACACACTCCCAGGCTCTCCCTGCATGAGCTGTGCTCTCGGGGAGTGAGTGTGTGGACCGCTGCCCTAGACGGTGGGGTTGAGGAAAGACTTCTGGGACAGGTGACATCTAAGGTGAAACCTGAAAGATGAACAGGAAGAAGTGGAAAGAAGCGAGTTTCGTGACTCTTTTCTCGGGTTAAGAGTAGGTGCGTGTGTCTGTGTGTCTCTGAGGAAGGGAACTGGGAAAGTGTGTGAGGAAGGTCAGAGTGGAGGGAGAAAGGAATGGCCAGCAGCGGCTGAAATAAGCTTTTCGTTTGTCATAATTTTACTTAGAAGCTTTTAATTTTATTAAGGCTGGCCCCTGCTTGGAAAAGTTTACCAGAACAGAGCTGTACATTCTAGCAATGGGGGACATACAGTGGGCAAAGGCAGGCTTGACATATGTACAGAATGGCCCTCGTGTATTTGTATGTTGGTGATTTAAAAGCTCCGTCTCTTTTCCGTGTTCAGAGAAGCACAAGCGAAAAATCAGGCGATCGTAAAGTGTCCTAATGAGAATGATACTCTTTTGTTCCAAACTCGGTCGGTACCAGTTCATGTTCTCAAGGTAAACACCAAAATGGATCGCTTGGGGGTGACTGCTTGTCCTTGGAGGGAGGCCTCACTCAGAGGATAAAATAATAACCACCACCACCAAGAAGCATGTCTGTAATAATAACTTTATTAAGTTGTTAAGGATTTTTGAAAAAGACTTTTTCACTATCATAAGGTCAGGAAAATACCGTAAGTCGTATTCTATAATCCTGAGAACGTAAGAGGTAGGCTTTGCTTTAAGGGTATTCCTACCCACCGGAGAACAGCTCCCAATGCTGTTCGAGAAACCACATCCCTTCAGATTTGGTGGGCAAGTAATTACAGTGTAGGTACTATCTCCTTTATGGAAATGTTATAAAACACAAGAACTTGGCTATTTGAAGCGAAAGGCAGTATTAGATTTTCCTTTGCACGCATTCTCGTTGCCTCCAACTGTAGCAAGTAGGACACTGTTTGGAAATAGTTTTTAGCTACTAATAGAGAGAGAGAGAGAGAGAGAGAGAGAGAGAGAGAGTGTCCGTCCGTGTGTTCCCTCCCTCCATGCCCCCCGCTCCGCAAAAGGGGGGGCCTCTTAACGAAGTGGCTGATTTTGTGGGCTGCTGGCTGCAGCCTGGCTGTTGAGTTGGGGAAATAATTTGATGCCGTCATAAAGAGAGATTCGCAAGCACCACACACACACGGGATGTTTATATCCTGTTTCTCGTGAAGTCCCCCACCCTGAGGTTCATCCTGACGACCACCTTCTCGGTCACTGCCCTGCGCCAGGGCCCAGATCTAAGGCAGTAGCAGCACCAGGCAGAGAGAGCTCTCCCCAAGGCCCCCCCCCCCCCGACCCCC